AATGTCAGATTCCAAATTACAGATATAGGAGGCTCAGAGAGTACCAAGCAGAATAAATTCCCCCCAAAAATCTGTACCTAGGCATATCAGAGTCACACTTCTGAAACCAAAGATAAAGAAAAAATTGTGAAAGAAGCCAAAGGGAAAAAAAACAAATGCCTTTCCTATATAGAAGCAAAGATAAGAAATACATTTGGCTTTTCCTCAGAAACCATCAAGAAGAGAGTGGAGTGAAATACTGTCGAGAAAAAAAATCCCATCAATCTAGAATTCTGAACCCTGTGAAATTATCCTTCAAAAAATGAGGGAGAAACAAGTATAAGGGATATGCTAAGAAAGGAGAGAAAAAGAAATTATATGTAATGCTCGATTAAAACAAACAAATAAAAAGGCAGAAAAAGTGTGGGAGGCAAAAACAGGAACAAAGAACGGGCAACAAACAGAAAACAGTAACATATATAATAAACATCCTTCTGAATTCTTTTATCTGGTAAATTTTAAAAAACATATATAATAAACATTAATCCAACTATATTAATCAATAATCACTTTAAACATCAGTGGTCTAAATATGCCAATTAAGAGACAGAGGGTGTTAGATTAAAACAAAACAAAACACCCAAACAGTATATTGTCTACAAGAGACACACTTATTTATTTATTTGAGACAAGGTGTCACTCTGTCACCCAGGCTAGAGTGCAATGGTGCAATCATAGCTCACTGTAGCCTCAACCTCCCAGGCAAAAAGTGATCCTCCCACCTCAGCCTCCAAAGTAGCTGGGGCTACAGGTATGCACCACCATGCCCAGCTAATTTTTACATTTTTTTTGTAGAGACAGTGTCCCACTGTGTTGCTTATGCTGGTCTTGAACTCCTGGGCTCAAGAAATCCTCCCACCTGGGCCTCCAAAAACACTGGGATTACAGGCATGGACCACTGTACTCAGCCAAGAGATCCAGGTTAAATATAAAGACACACAGAGATTTTTAAAAAGGAATGTCCCAGCATAGATGGGTTCTTAAAAAAGAAAGAAGAGTAAATAAATAAATGGATAAAGAAAGATATACCATTCTAACACTAACTGAAAGAAAGTTGAGTAGCTAAATTAATTTCAGAGCAAACTTCAGATAGAGCAAACTTCAGAGCAAGGAAAGTTATTACGGATAAAGAGGAGCAATACATAATGATAAAAAGGTCAACTGTCCAAGAAGACATAACAATCCTTAACACATATATGCCTTAAAACAGTGTCAATATACGTGAGGCAAACATTGACAGAAGCAAGAAGAAATGGATGAATTCACTATTACTGTTGGAGACTTTAACCCCCATATATCAGAAATGGACAGAATCCAGAAAGCATAAAACCAGTGAGGATATAGTGGAACTCAACAGCACTACCAACTGACTAGATATAACGGAAATCTACAGAATACTTCATCCAACAAGAGCATATCACATGTTCTTCCCAAGCTCACAAGGAACACTGACTAAGACAGATCACATTCTGGGCCATAAAATACAATGTAATAAATTTAAAAGAGAATCATACAGTGTCTGCTCTCAGGCCACAATGAAATTAAACTTGAAAGTGATAACAAAGATAGCAGGAAAATCCCAAAATAGGTGGAAATTAAACAACACACTTCAGCCAGGCGCAGTGGCTCACACCTGTAATCCAAGCACTTCGGGAGTCCGAGGCGGGCAGATCACTTGAGGTCATGAGTTCCAGACCAGGCTGGCCAACATGGTGAAACCCCATCTCTACTAAAAATACAAAAATTAGCTGGGTGTGGTGGTGCGCACCTGTAATCCCTGCTACTTGGGAGGCTGAGGCACAAGAATTGCTTGAACCTAGGAGGCAGAGGTTGCAGTGAGCCAAAATCATGCCACTGCACTCCAGCTGGACGATAGAACCAGACTCAGTCTCAAAAAAAAAAAAAAAAAAAAAAAAAAAAAAACAAAGAAACACACTTCTAACCAACACATGGGCCAAAAAGAAATCTTAGCTGGGTGTGGTAGCTCACTCCTGTAATCCCAACACTTTGTGAGGCTGAAATGGGAGGATTACTTGAGCCCAGGAGTTAGAGAACAGCCTGGACAACACAGTGAAACCCCATCTTTACAAAAAAATTTAAAAGAAAAATTAGCCAGGCACGCCTGTAGTCTCAGCTACTTGGAAGGTAGCTCACCCATCACTTGAGTGAGCCAATGAGTTTGAGGCTGCAATGAGCTATGATTGTGCCACTGCACTCCAGCCTGGGTGACAGAGCGATGAAGCCCTATACCTAAAGAAATTAAAAATTAACTTTTAAAAAGGAAACCTCACAAAAAACACACACAAAAAAAACCCACACAAAACACACACACACACACACACACACACACACACACACACACACATCAAGGGAAATTTAAAATATTTTAAGGCTAAATGAAAATGAAGATACAACTTATGAAAATGTGTAGGATGCATCAAAACAGTGCTTAGAGGGAAATTTATAGTATTTAGTGCATATTTTAGAAAAGAATGACATAAAATCAATAATCTAAGCTTCTACCTTAGGAAACTAGAAAAGTAAGAGCAAATTAAATCCAAATTAAGCAGAAGAGAAGAAATAATTTAAAAAATCAGAGCACAAATGAATACAACTGAAAAGAGGAACTCAGCAGAGAAACTCAAGAGCGAATCCTAATGCAAACTGCGGACTGTGGGTGATGATGTGTCAGTGTGGTCTATCAAGTGTAAACATCTACCAGTGTGGTGTCCGATGCCAACAGTGGGGGAGGTCGTGCATTTGCAGGGATGGGGTATTTGGGAACACTGTACTTTCTGCTCAATTTTGTTGTGAACCTCTCTTCTCTGTCCTCCAAAAAGAAAAACTGAATTTATCTTTTCAACAGCAACAACAAAAAAACCTGAATTTATCTTTTCAACACTCTTCTAATACTGCAAAACAAAATATTCACTCAAAACAAGCCTCTCCCCTGAGAGTGTTTAAGACTTTAATTGTGCTTCTGTTCCCTTAGGACAGACTGACTAAAGAGCCCCGAGAGGGGCATGGGAGGCAGACTCTACTCTTTGAGCTCAGTAGTAGTCACACTGTTCACTTTATGATTATTTGTTAAACAGTAAATGTATGACTCATGTACATAAATATATTTTTCAGTAAAAAAGAATGAACAGTATTTTTATAGCTTCCTTCATAAAAATTTCTCTAAGTAAAGCAAACTAAAGATCTCATTTAAATTTATTCATTCTAATTGTCCTTTTAAAGGCTCTAAAGAACAGAGATGGGACAAAACCAAAACTGAATGAAATACTTGGGTGGCTCATTTACATCTTTCAAGAAAAGTCTCAATGTGGCTAGAGATTTGAAACATATTTTAATATAGTTAGCTTAATACTGCCAGTCCCTTCTTTCTCTAAATTTAAAGATTTTCATATATAAAATAGGAAAGGTACAAATTCATCTCCTTTTTACATGGCTTATATTTTCCAGGATTTTTAAGTGTCTAAAGAAATAGCACTTTTACACTATACTTTGATTTTAGACCTACAGTACTTTCCATTCTTTCCCAAATACATCACTGTGCCTTTATTTGTATCATATCACCTCTCTAATGTGTACAACCTAGGGCTCTAATGCCTCCTCTTCACCCTGCAGTCAGAAGCCATGCTTTTGAACAGTTAATATCGTACCTCTGGTTCAAGCTGCTGAGAGCACAATCTTGGAATACTGATTCTATTGCTTAAGACCCCAAATGGACTGTCATCACCTCTCTCCCCAAAAGCTGGCAGTTAATGACCATTCTAATTCTAGCTAGTGAGGGAACAGGTACTTCCAGGCAGTGTGTCTTTAGGTCAGCATGATTTCTCCAATTATAAATGTATCACTGTCTGTGGCTGTCCAAACAGCATCTCTTTTTGTTATCTCTTAGGTTAGAAATGGACACTCTCTGAGGGGACGCCATCCTATGAATTTGACCTAGGTCTTCTTCACTCATGCTTCCTCCTTTTGGAGCTATCTGGCACTCTTCCATAAAAACCACCATAACCAAATATGTTTGTTCCTTCTCAGGTTTGAATAACACAGGAGAATTATTCCGGGTGTCAATTCTTAATTCAGTCTTTCCCAGGGAAAGAAAATTCTTACTTTAACTAGAAATAACCAGACACTAGTATATTGCAGCTGCAACAACTCTCAAAAAAGCTGTACAAAAGAAAAATGTGGCTTCCACCTCCAACAGTCATTAAAGATTTCTTTTTTTTTTTTTTTTCTTATTAAGGCACCCAGAACACATAATATTATACCAAGCCAAAAGAACCAATTTTTTTCATGGAGTAGAATAGCAATTGGCTGTTACTCATTAAATTCTTACAGCAAAGAGCAATGACTTTCTTTCTTGTTTTGCTTCTCTTTGAATAGTAGATGAAGTTGATTTTTTTGTAAGGCTGCCTCCCATCACCACGTTCCTGATCCTTGGCCTGTGCAGCTGTTAACATGCTGCACACGTATGCTTAGGCTCCTTAACAACCAATGCTACCTTTCTGTTTACTCCAAGTCAGTTCCTATCTTGTTAGTGAAATTGATTTTTTTCTTTTTAAACATAATAATTTCATAACATACAAAAACTATATATATAAAGTCCACTGGTTTTCTAAATCCTTTTTTTTATTTTAAGGGCTTCACGGGCCATGGAGTCACATTTTAATTGAGAAAGACATGTCCAATCATGGTAATGCCAAAAGATGGGTGGACTTCTACTTCACAAACATAGTTAATTGCCTGTGTTGGGGGTGGGAGGTAACTGTTGAAGCCCACAATTTACCTTTACTTTAAGAAAGAAGTTAATTCCCTTGATTGAACATAGGTGATAAATTATTTTTCTGGAACTAGTGATTAAAGAGTAAAACATTAGAAACTATGCTAAAGGGTACTTCGTCATAACTATCTGTGGTCAAAGGCACTTGTCCTTAACTCACGCCATGGTTTTCATATTCTAATTGCCTATTAACTATCTGTTTCCCTCATGGACTGGAAGCTCCTGAAAGGCAGGGATTGTATCATAATGACTGTTTCTCATCTTTAGGGCACATAGTCTGGCAGATGGTATACAGTCATTAAGTATTTCTGTTAGTGTTGGTATTATATTCAGTACAAAAGTCTAATTATTAACTAGCTACGGTTTTAGATTAATTGGCACACTCACTGCCCCACCATTTATGAAACGAGTTTTAATTGGACATTATCCCAGTTCAGGCAGATATGCCCAACTTCAAGTATGTAATGTTCTCTACCTAAACACTGAGCATCTTTATGGGAGGCAGCAGAAAACAATGCTCAGTTAGTGAGTTTTGAGTCTTTCTGCTCTGATTCAGACTCTGCTACTAACTAGCGGTACCTCTGGCAAGTCACTTTACCTTAGTAGATCTCGTGTCAGAGATTAAAGTGGGGAATTGGACTAAATGGTCTCTAAGAACCTAGCTAGGTCCAGCGCTAAAAGTGACTGGGTTTGAATTAGTAAGGGTATACTGATACAGCAAGTCCTTGTCAACACTAGAGGGAGCTACATTCATGTCATCACTGGGGTGGTTCAGAAGATTTCTGGAAAAAGCATCTTTAAATGGAAAACTTACTTTGCAAAGTAAGAGAAATTCCATACCAAGGTAAAAGTTCCACACTGCTCATACAGCCACCCAACAGGCTCTCTCATCATCCCACTCTTACAGATGTCGAAGCACCTCACACCTGACTTGCATCAACACACAAGGCTTCAGTTTTAATTCCATTAAAAGCCAGTTGGCTTTGAGCCATTCCTAAAGATTTCTTTCCCCATTCAGTCTATTTTCTTTCTTAACTAAATTAACAACAACAAAAAGCAAAGTAATTCATGATGATACTAGAAAATCCCCAAAGAAAGGTGGTAAAAGAAGAGAACGATTCATATCACACCGAAGCTGCAGCCTGGGAAAAACAGTAAAGCTAACTACAGCTGAATTCATTAGCAGCCTGCCACTCAAACACAAAGCTACCTCAAAAACAAGAAAACTACTCAAAAAGAGAAAACATATCAAGGAAAGGAAGGACTTTGGCATAGCTCTGCAATGTGGGTGCTGGAATGCCTGTCTGAGTTGATGGCTGGCACTGCCCTATTGGGCTCCATGGTAAGCAGTCACAGCTGTTGAAGAGTGATATCATTAATTAAGGCAATGGGGTCACATTCAGCGTTGGGCAAGAAACTGTAAAGTGACAAGATAAGGGAATGGAAGATGGAATAGGTAAGCAAAAGTACAAGTATTTCTCAAGCTACAGCTTTATTCTGATGTTATTATATACTTCCCTTCCACCTCAGCAAAACACCCACAGCCTTGAGAATGACCTAAACCCTTACAGAGCAAATGAAAAAAAGACTCGAAAACCTCTCCATTAGTATCAACTTATGTTTCTCTTTGTCCAGAGGAACGATGGCATGTTAACCAGATAGAGAAGGCATAAATCATGAATATTGCAGAAGGGTAGTCTGTTGGAGAAAGATAAATGTAATCCTGAAGAACCCCTTTACATGCATTTCATAGATTAATTCAACACTTAGAAAGGCAAAGCCTCAACAGTCAGAAATGCACCATCTGCTTTTTAGGACATAGGCTGTTTCTGAGTCAAAACGGATTATAAAGCCACTTCAGAGACTGACTTTGTGGGTAAAGAGAAAAATCTGTTGGAACAAGACAAATAATTATTTTCTACTTAAAAAAATGCAAGCTCAAACCTACAGAGGTAAGTACAGAGTAAAACTTAGGTTGAAATCAACTTATTTCTATGAATCTAAGTAGCTGGAATACCTAATTGTTTCTTTTTTTTTTTCTTTTCATCAGTGTTTCTTAAATCACCAATTTCAGGCAGGGTGCAGAAGCTCACACCTGTAATTCCAGCACTTTGGGAGACAGAGGTGGTAGGATCACTTGAGCCCAGGAAGTCAAGGCTCCAGTGAGCTGTGTTTGCACCACTGCATTCCAGCCTGAGAAACAGAGCGAGACACTGTCTCAGATAAACAAACAAACAAATCAATTTCAAGTACTCTAGAAGTGCCAAAGCCTTAAGAGGACCACCTCCTTTTCCTTTCTTACCCTTTAGATAATTAAATTTTAACAAGTATGAGACAAGGTATGAAGAAGTATGAGAAAAATATACTGTATTGTTAAAAGGAGAACTACAATTTTTCCTCCCTTATTTAGGACACGTGCCAAAGGATTTTCAATTCACTGTGCTTCATACTGACCTTCAAAATGTTTCGGCCATCAAATGATTCTCTTTCCTTGAAGATATATTTGCCATCTGGTGTGTAGAGATTGTACCTGCCTTCAGCTGTAAATATTCCAAAGATAATGTTAGAAGCTTAGGTTGGTTGGTTGTTTTCTCTTGGATTTCTACAGGTACATAGGTACAACTAGAAAAATTTTCACATACTACCTCGAAAGTGGCATAATGCAGAGGAAAAACGTCAGGCTATGAATCAAGAGACCTGTCTTCTAGTCTCAGTTCTGTCATCAATTCATTCAATATACATTTACTCATTAATTTATTCATTTGACATTCTCCAGGCACCATCTATATATTCCTAACTATGCAACTAGCTACATTCTTAAGCAAATTATGTCTCTATCGTGGACCTTAGTTCTTCATTGACAAAGTGAGAGGTAGGACTGAGTAATTTTCAAAGGTTCCTTACGTTCTACAGACCTAAGATAAGGGGCATATAATTTTAAATATGTAAAAATACATAAGAGTTCACACATTAACTAGTCAAAACTGCTGGCAATTATGCTCTGGGCTGATTTAAGAACTTCCCCCAAAGGAAAAAGAACCCTCTAGTTGCAATCAAAGGTATCCTTACAGGCATTCTACATAGGAATGCAGCAAATCTATGACCTTAGCCTAAATCAAGCTGTGCTCTAGCTTCTTGTGTTAATTTGGGTTGCTATCTCAAAAGAGATCCTTAAAGGTTGGCAAGAAAAAGAATATCAGAGGAGAGGGAAACAGGAAAGAAAAAAATGTAACATCATTTCATGTCCTTTTCAAGTAAAAATTCAATACAGGAGAGTCCAGAGTACAAAAAACTCAAAGGATCCTCAAGAATTAACTCAGAATATTTTCTGAAATATTAATCATTTCTTACCAACTGACAGACATTCAAAAATACCTATTTCCACCTTTAAGTATGTTCTTTTACTTTTATAAGTAAGGAGTATACGAAGCCAGAATTGATCAAATATATCTAGAGTTTTAATAACTCCATTAACATAATACATAATACATTTCAGCTAGCCCACTGGAGTTGCACATGGGTAACTATGGAACTATTTCTCTAATGAGAAGAATGCTCTTAATCAAAGATCCCAATCCCATGCATATTTCACAACTTAAAAATAGGTCTCCTGTTAAGAGAAAAAGACTGTGTGAAGTTGCAAAAGAACAACAAATTAATACCAAATAAATATCAAAAAGCGGAAACAACACAAATGTCCACCAATTGATAAATGGATACATAAAATGTGGCATATCCATACCATGGACTATTATTCAGCCATAAAAAAATGAAGCGCCAGGCATGATGGCTCACATCGGTAATCCCAACACTTTGGGAGGCTGAGGCAGAAGGACTGCTTAAGCCCAGAAGTTTGAAACCAACCTGGGCAATATAGTGAGAACCTGCCTCTATAAAAAAGCTTAAAAATTAGCTGTGTGTAGTGGCATGCGCCTGTAGTCCCAACTACTCACAAGGCTGAGGTGGGAGAATCTCTCCAGTGCGAGAGGTGGAGGTTGCAGAGTTGAGATCACTCTACTGCACTCCAGTTTGGACAACAGAGACCTTGTCTCAAAAAAAAAAAAAAAAAAAAAAAAACCACACACACACAGGAAAAAAAAAAAGGAATGATGTACTTATATGGATGAGCCTTGAAAACATTATGTTAAGTGAAAGAAGTCAGCCACAAAAGATCACATACTGAGTGATTCTGTTTACATGAAATGTCCAGAACAGGCAGCTCTATAGAGGCATAACGTAGACTGGTGGTGCCTAGGGCTTGGTGGAGGTTGGAGGAGGGCAGGGTGAGAGGGGTAGGAAGAAATGGCAGGTGACTGCCAATGGGCATGAAGTTTCATTTTAGGGTGATAAAAATGTTGAACTGATTGTGGTGATGGCTGTACAACTTTAACCATACTAAAAACCACTAAATTATATATATCAAGAGTAAATTGTATAGTATGTGAACTATATCCCAATAAAGCGATTATATTTTGAAAATCTGCAGTTAGAGGGAACACACAACATTCTCTTATATAAACCTCTAGTGCTAACTGAATATAAACTCGGATCCACACAACTTAGAATATACAGATTCCTATATAACTGAACTCTTTCTATGTAAAGAGATTAGTTGATAATGGACCATGATATAGTTTTAAGAGCTCTGGACAAATATTCAGTACTAAGACAAATGCAAAATGTACTGATAGCTAATAAATGTCTAATAAAATACTGTCTATACATGCACTGTCCAAAACAGTAGCCAATATCCAGATGTGGTTATGTAAATTTTAATTAAAACTAAAAATAAAAGTTCACTTTTACAGTCCTCACTAGCCACCTTTCAAGCACTCAATAACCACATGTGTCTAGTGGCTACCATATTAGACATCACAGATACAGAATACTTCCATCATCACAGACAGTTATCTTAATACAATATATGTCTTCTGAACCAATAAATTTAGAGTATACTTACAGAGTTCTGAAACTCTGCCTTTACATAATGATGTTAAAATATACAGAGGATTCTCACGGTGTTCCAAAATTAAAATATGCCATCCAAAATAAAACAAATAGCACAAACCTAGTTAAATGTTTCCATTGGACAAGCTACATTATAATACCTAGGTATCTAAAATATTCCCACTTCCTGTAGTATTATTCCCTAAAGGAAAGAAATATGCTCAACTGGGCTGGGTGCAGTGGCTCATGCCTGTAACCCCAGCACTTTGGGAGGCTGAGGTGGGTGGATCACGAAGTCAGGAGTTCAAGACCAGCCTGACTAACATGGTGAAACCCTGTCTCTACTAAAAATACAAAAATTAGTTGGGCATGGTGGCACATGCCTGTAATCCCAGTTATTCGGAAGGCTGAGGCAGGAGAATCACTTGAACCCAGGCAGGGGTGGAGGCTGCAGTGAGCCACGATCGCACCACTGCACTCCAGCCTGGGTGACAGAGTAAGATGAAAAAAACAAAAAAAAGAAATATGCTCAACTGGAGCAAGTTCAAAGTTTTAGATTCTATTACCTACCCAAACAAGAGTATATATAGTCTTTGACTGAGTTATCTGAAGCTCTTTTAATCTCAGTGTTCTCAAAAGTAAAACAGAGATTTATTTATAATTCTTAAATAAAATTCAACATGGCATCACAAAAATGTAATATTTTAGAACTAATAACTAGATGGCTACATATTTCTTGGTCCTACGATGGCTCTAACCAAATGGGGTTAATATCAAATGATTTCCAGTTGGAATCTTTGGTACATATCTGAGAGAGATTAAAAGACATGCCTTAACTAAAGGGAACACACAAATCGGCCTAACTAAAAACCTACAAATAGTCAACGCTTCAAGTCCTGAAGAAGTTCTCTTCCCACCTAGATTTCTTTCTTTCTTTCTTTCTTTTCTTTTTTTTTTTTTTTGAGACAGAGTCTTGCTCCATCACTCAGGCTGGAGTGCAGTGGCACGATCTCGGCTCACTGCAACCTGCCTCTTGGGTTCAAGTGATTCTCCTACCTCAGCCTTTCATTACAGGCATATGCCACCACGCCTGGCTACTTTTCGTATTTTTAGTAGAGATGGGGTTTCACTACATTGGCCAGGCTGGTCTTAAACTCCTGACCTCAGTGACTCACCTGCCTCAGCCTCCCAAAGTACTGGGATTACAGGCATGAGCCCTACATTTTCTAAAACCAAGGTTGGGGCCCAAGAAAGGAAATGAAACTGGAATATGTGATCTTGGTGCTAGTGTATTTTGAACCACGGGTCTTGCAAGAAGGAGCTGCGTATGGCTTGAACTTGTAACTTCTGATCAGAGGTTGAAGGGACTAGAGAAGCTTTCACTTTGGAGGTAGGACAGGAGGAAAAGAAAATTTCTTTTTGAAATAAACACCCAAATCAAGGATTAAAACAAGGCAGTTTTATAAAAAGCCTCAGATCTGGTCCATGAAGAAAAAATTTATTATTCTAACATAAGGTTTCTCAACTTCTGTGCTACTGACATTTTGGGAAGAATAATTCTTTGTTGTGGGGGGCTGTCCCACACATCGTGGAGTGTTAGACAGCCCCCACTAGGTACCAGCAGCAACCCATCTCGAGCTCCCTAACTATGATAACCAAAAATGTCTCCAGACAATGCCAAATGTTCTCTGGGGGCAAAATCACCCCTAGTTGAGAAACACTGATCTAACATTTACTAGCTCACCTTCCTTTCTTTTCTCTCTTTAAAAAAAAAAAAAAAAAAGCCACCAAGTATTGCATGTGACATACTTATGCCAAAAATTTATTCACTGTTTATATAAAATTTACCAGAGCATCCTGTATTTTTATTTGCTAAATCTGGCAATCTTATGTGTGACAGAAATAAAAGACCTTGAAGCCACAGTCCCATGCTATGTATGTTCTTGCCCACTGCTACCATACTCATCAGCATATGCTAAGAGGTCTAGAAAACAAGATATATCAGAGATTCTTTGATAGTCCATTCTATATAAACCTCAGAGATACCGCAAGGCTGCTGATCACAAACCATGCTATAGTTCTCTGGTAGACTTACCATTGGGGTCTTTTCTGAATAGTGTATTCATGACTGTAGCATGCAGTTTCACACTATTCCACTCTTTCACTATTAGTCCAGATGCCTGGAAACGTTCCAGCACTCGATCAACTAACTCTTGCAGTCTGGAGAAATTGGAGAAAAGTAGTAGAGAAATCTTAGTAAACTTCTGAACATGCGATTACTAATTCAACAATGTTTATGGAGCATGTGCTCTGTGCTAATCACTATACAAAGGCCGCATCACAAGAGGAAGAGGAGAAGACCATCTCCCACCACCATGGAGCTAAAGCTCACTGTCTTGTTTGTCTGCTTGACAGATAGTAGAAATAAATGATGGCAATATATTATGGTGAGTGTGAAGGGGGTAATCAGCTCTACATGGAGAGGGCCAGGTTTCCACAGGAAGTTTAGACATAGTCTGGACTGATCACTAAAGACACAAATAACACCAGGGAAGGAAGGGCACTTCAAGTAGAAGAAGAAACAGCATATGCAAAGATGCCAAGGGATGTAAGATCAAAGCATATTCCAAAAACTGTCAACTATTTATAATATAGCTATAACAGAGAAAGAAGAAAGGAACAACAGAGATGAGCTAAGTCTATAAGTAGTGGTCAGATTTAGGGAAACCACAGAATGACTTTCGAAAGGGAATAATGTGGCCAGGTGTGGTGGTTCATACCTGTAATCCCAGCACTTTGGGAGGCTGAGGTGGACGGATCACCTGAGGTCAGGAGTTCAAGATCAGCCTCTGATCAACATGGTGAAACCCCGTCTCTACTAAAAGTGCAAAATTAGCCAGGTGTGGTGGCATGCGCCTGTAATGCCAGCTACCTGGGAGGCTGAGGCAGGAGAATTGCTTGAACTCAGGAGGTGGAGGTTGCAGTGAGGCGAGATCACGCCATTGCACTACAGCCTGGGCAACAGGGTAAGACTCCATTTCAAAAAAAGAAAAAGAAAGAAAGAATGTGGTCTGACGTCCATTTTTGAAAGCTGATTCAATAGCAGACTGGAAAAGGCTTTAGTAGCCAGCTAGGTGGCTACTTCAACAGTCAAAATAATATCACCATGATGTGTTGGGCACTGTTCTAAGTACTTTTTATCTGTTAAATCACTTAATCCTCATAACCAATTATTATCCCTATTTTACCAATACAGAAACCAAGGTACAGGAAGTTACAAAACTTGACCAAAGTCATAAAACTAAGTGGCAAATCAAAAATTAGAATGGGAGGGGCACAGTGGCTCACACCTATGATCCCAGCACTTTGGGAGGCTGAGGCAGGTGGATCACTTGAGGTCAGGAGTTTGAGACCAGCCTGGCCAACATGGTGAAAACTTGTCTCTACTAAAAATACAAAAATTAGCTGGGCATGGTGGCACACACTTGTAATCCCAGCTACTTGGGAGGCTGAAGTGGGAGGATCACTTGAACCCAGGAGGTAGAGGTTGTAGTGAGCCGAGACTGCAACACTGCACTCCAGCCTGGGTGACAGAGTGAGACTTCATCTCAAAACAAAACAAAAAAGAAAAACAAAATTAGAATGTATGCAGTCTGGCTTCAGAGTCCATGCTCCTAAGGACTGTACCATCAAGGGAGAAATGGGGACAGGCATGGTGGCTCACGCCCATAATCCCAGCACTTTGGGAGGCTGAGGTGTAAGGATTGCTTGGGCCAGGAGTCAGCCTAGACAATATAGTGAGACTGTGTCTCTACAAAACATTTTTAAAAGTTAGCCAGCCATGGTGGCATGTGCCTACAGTCCTAGCTACCAGGAGGCTAAAGCAATAGGACTGCTTCAGCCGAGGAGTTTAAGGCTGCAGTAAGCCATGACTGCATCACTGTACTCCAGCCTGGGTGACACAGCAAGATCCCATCTCAAAAAGAAAGGGGTTGGGGAGGGAATAATGAAGATCTGAACCAAGCTTGTCCAACCTGTGGCCCAGGACAGCTTTGAATGCAGCCCAAAAGAAATTCTTTAACTTTCTTAAAACATTGTATGATTTTTTTTTTTTTGCTCATCAGCTATCATTAGTGTTAGTGTATTTTATGTGTGGCTCAAGATAATTCCCTCTTCTTCCAATGTGGCCCAGAGAAACCAAAATTGAACACGCTAACTAAATTATGGTGGGGCAGTGAGAACTGAGACAAAGGAATGGGTTCACAAGAGCTATGTGAGAGAGAAGCTGGTGCCCTTTCGGATCTGGCTGCGTTATGGGAGAGGAAGTGGTTGAGAATGACTCCCAAGTGTTGCCCTAAATGACCAGATGGCTCATCAACCAAGGTGGGAGGCTGTGGGGGAGCAACTGCTTATTGTCCTGCTGTGTTATCTTGGGGAAGAGGTTAATATTGAGCAGGATTTTGCATATGTGGTACGGGATGCAAGAGAGATGGAAATATAGGCCGAGAACTCAGGAGAAAATCCAGGCAAATGACAGATTTGGGAGTTGTCAGTGTAGCAACAGTAGTCAAAAGCATGGGATAGATGCAGTCACAGGGGCTGGAGGGCATATTCAGAATAAGCCAAGAAGAGAGCTACGGACAGTGCCCTATGAAATGCTTCTATGTAAGCAGCAGAGAAGGAACCAGCAAAGACAACTTATAAGGATGAGGAAATAATATCTGAGATGGGTATATGCTAAGTACAACTGAGGAACAGAAAGGATACCAGTATCCGGGGTGAAACTAGAAAGAGAAGTGATGAGGTCAGAGAGGTGTGACCAGGTTACCCGAAGCTCTCAGGCCCATGGAAGGCCTTCAGTAGTTACTCTGCGTCAGGTGAGGAGCTTCTAGAGGGTGTTTGGCAGAAGACTGACATGATCTGGCTGCTCTGTGGAAGACTGGCAGCAGTGGAAGCAGGATAGAAGCAGGAAGTCAGTTAGGAGGCTGTGGCAACCACCCAGGTAGCTGAGCCTGTGGCACTAGAAGTGGTGAGAAATGAGCTTCCCTGGTATAAGGGAGTCAAAGAAGTGAAGGTGATTCTAAAAGAATTTTTGTTCTGAGAAACTGAGAGATGGAATATCGAAGAACACAATACATTCAAGGACTGGAGAAAATATGTAGAAAGAGAAGGGCAGCAATGAAATGGAAAGGCAGGCTGAAGCCAAGCTGTGAAGGTCCTAGGGGTCAGGCAGGATTGGACTCTTATTTGGTAGGCCACAGGAAACCAAGGGTTGTTTTTTATTGCTATTGTTGTTTTGAGACAGAGTCTCACTCTGTTGCCCAGGCTGGAGTACAGTGGTGCAACCTTGGCTCACTGCAACCTCCGCCTCCAGGGTTCAAGTGATTCTCCTGCCTCAGCCTCCCAAGTAGCTGAGATTACAGCTGCATGCCACCACACCCGGCTAATATTTTGTATTTTTAGTACAGACAGGATTTCACCATGTTGACCAGGATGGTTTTGATCTCCTGTCCTCATGAGCTGCCTGTCCTAGCCTCCCAAAGTACTGGGATTACAGGCATGAGTCACTGTGCCCGGCCTGTTTTTCTTTTTTTTAAGAGATATGATCTCACTTTGTTGCCTAGGCTAGAGTGCAGTGGCACAATCATAGCTCACTGCAGGCTTGAACTCCTGGGCTCAAGCTATCTTCCTGCCTCAGCCTGCCGAGTTGCTGGGACTACAAGTGCATGCCACCATGCCCAGCTATTTTTTTCAAAATTTTTTGTAGAGATGGGGTATCACTATATTGCTCAAGTCTTGAACTCCTGGCCTCAAGTGATCTTCCCTCCTTAGCCTCCCAAAGTGCAGGAATGACAGGTGTGAGCCACCATTTCAGATCACCAATGACAATTTTTAAGAAGCAAGAAACACAAGGAAAAACTAAAAGCATGGAAGCCAGTTAAGAGAGATATTGTACTTCCTTATATAGTTATCTTAATCTTTTTCCCCAATTACAAAAATAGTACAAGCTCATTATAGAAAATATGCAAAGTACAGAAAAGCATAAAAAGGAAAACATAACCTCACCATGCACAGATAAACACTTAATCTTTTTATGTTAAGTGCGTATCTACAGATGATGTTATGTAATCAGAAAAAAATTTCAGATAAACTAGTTTTAAAAGTTTCTGATTAACACCATCGCAGAACCATAATATTTCTTCTTCTTCCTTTTTTTTTTTTTTTTTTTTTTGAGACAGGGTCTCACTCTCTTGCTAGACTATAGTACAGTGGCATGATCTCAGCTCACCACAACCCTCCACCTCCAAGGCTCAAGCGATTCTCCTACCTCAGGCTCACAAGTAGCTGGGATTACCAGTGGGCACCACTACCACCGGCTAATTTTCTATTTTTAGTAGAGATGGGATTTCACCATGTTGACCAGGCTGGTCTCAAACTCCTGACCTCAAATGATCCACCTGCTTCACCTCCCAAAGTTCTAGGATTACAGGCGTGAGCCACAAGACCTGGCTGAACCATATTTCTAAATACTGTAACTTAGATCTGAATATAACCATGCACCACAAATTGCACCTCGATTACAAATCACAATAGAATAATTCCTCACTTTCCCCCTTCTTCTCTTAAAGAAAAAAAAGTAGACAAGGAGTTCAGCTATAAAGAACTGAACATGAAACACTGAGCATGAAATACTGGAGTAAGTAAACTAAACAGACCACATGAAAGAAATTAGTTCCCGCCTTTGTGTTTTTGGAAAACGAGGATTTCTGACAATTTACAGACTCAAAACTTTGAAGAAACCAATGTCCTTTAAAAAGTTCTAGTGTAGCTGGGTGCAGTGTTCTAGCGTAGCACTTTGGGAGGCCAAGGCGGGCCGATCACCTGAGGTTGGGAGTTCAAGACCAGCCTGACCAACATGGAAAAATCCTGTCTCTACTAAAAATACAAAATTAGCCAGGTGTGGTGGTGCAAGCCTGCAATCCCAGCTAAATCGGGAGGCTGAGGCAGGAGAATCACTTGAACCCGGGAGGCAGAGGTTGCAGTGAGCCAAGACTGCGCCACTGCACTCCAGCCTGGGCAACAAGAGCAAAACTCCGTCTCAAAAAACAAAACCAGTTCTAGTGTAACCTGCTCTTTCACACAGGAGGAAATGATGGCAGAGAGGTTCAGTTGCTCAGACAGTGACAGAAGAACCAGAATACAAGTCTACAGGCAGCCTG